AGCTGCAGACAATAACCGCTATCATCTTCCTAATCTGCAGGATAAAAATAGGGGTGTTCAAGTCTGTGGAGAAGAAAGCAATGAAGATTCTAATCCCTGCTCTGGGTTAGTTTCCATGTCTCCAGTTTCCACCTTGATAAATTAAAGGTCAACTCTGCCTCTTCTACAACAGACGGATGTTGCTATTTGAATGCTTGACATAATCAAAGAGACAAATAAGGACTTTTGATTGTTACAATCAATTGATTAATTTTATCTATCCCAGTCACGATAACCTCTTGTTGCATAGTCTAGTGTTGCTGAAATAAACCTAAAGGTTTATTTTTACATCACTTTACATTTTCAAATTGAAAAGACCAAACTGTGTCAGTAACTGAACTTTCTTATAAGACTGGATGCTGTTGCATACATTCTTAGTTATTCCTGTGAGCTGTCATATAGACATTACACTGTTGTATACCATGGTAAAATCAAGGTGAAGCAAAGCTCAGGGAGACCATAGTAAGAGTGTGGTAATGAATAAAGAGAATGCTAAAATATTACTCAGAATATGGTAAAGAATGGCAAAGCAAAAATAAATGCATGGCCTAAAAACACTTACCATAGGGAACTATTGTACCTTAAGGGTTTGTACACTATGGTGTCATGATTGCTCTTTAACATCCACAATAACAATGTTAGCTGTTCAGTATCTTTTAATAGTGAAGATTTAGCAGCTGGAAAATACACAATTGATCATTCAAAAACTGTACAGCTGTTCATTTTATTTTTTGTAACATAAACAATCATCATTGTCATATCAGAAATGTGATGCTGATTTTGACTTGTGTTTATATGTACACAATTATTGTTTTTTTTGCTAAAAGTAATAACAATGTTGTCTGCCATGAACTTGTCTCCCTGGAGCAGACCAATTAATTTGAATTCACAGCCCACCAACTCCAAAGTAGAACTCAGTTATCTTTTCCTTTCACATCAGCTTTGCCCTTTGTTGAGTTCTGCTTCAGACGAACCTTAATTTCATATTCTGGGCAGCGCGGAGCTCCTGCATAAAGAATGTACATCCAAATCCTGTCATTTGTGTTGAAGCTTGAAACCCACTGATTGACCTACAGTGGTCTCAACTGTCCAAACCCATCTCTTCGAAGATCTGCTCCCGGCAACTGTTCTGCACTGAAGACCGCCTCAGCCTCTGCAGACACAGACAAGTGCAGAGATGGAATCTGCACATTTTGAGGTTTGTATCGTGGGTGGTGCAGCGCACAATTTTAATTCCTTCTCTTTGGAATCAGTATACTGTATTTTCAGTTTCACTTCATAAAAATATTGGGCTTGCCATTCAACTAAAAATGTTATTTTTATTTCTATAGGTGCTCCAGACTACATTAACAAGCTACAGTTTGCTTTTCATTGTCCTCTGTTGCACTAGGGTTTGCATTTAATATCTTTGATCACAGTTTTACTTATTGTTCTTGTTCTGCTGTGCCTATATAGTAATTTAATTTGCCCTCAATGTTGTAAGGTGCTGGAATACCTTGTAGAGGGAACAGGAGTAAATGCAGTGTACAGTACCCACACTGCACTACAGAACATGCAGGGTGCTTTATGCACATACAAGATTTTGTGTTTGCATATGTACCATAATTTGGGGGCTCAGAGAACACACTACACAGCTCCCTGGACAGCAACGAACTCCACTGGGCCAAAAAACTGGGTCCCCACATACGGCACCGTTCTACACAGCCCAGGCTTCAGTGCACTGACCCTAATACACAGAAATAAACTAATAACATGGTGACTCTGAGCAGAATGTAAACTACAAGAGAACAGAACGTGCAAGAAAAGCAAATATTCTTAATGGGCCTTCATGTTCTACATAAGACAATGTGCAGCACACAGACTATGGTCAGCATTCAAGCATCGCAGGGAGCTTTAACAAATTTTGAAGCCTTTCAAAATGCTACATCATCACTATATTTTCTCCTCTTCATTCCAAACTCTATTGCTCAGATACTGTATATAAGGTTCAAATTTAAGACAACTGTGGACAGCGCTTTAGCAAAGATCATTCACAAATGTCTTCATTGTGACGATAGCCTACCCACACCCTAAACCTGTAGATGTAATTATTGTTTATAACAGTCTAAATAAATTATGAATACTTACAAAAAACCTGAACCTAAACAAGGTTTGGTCGAATTATATAGTGTAAACATCTGGATATTTCTTAACTTGATAAGAAGTTTGTATATACTATTAGATACAGTATAACGTAGTATCTCTTTCAATTCCTTTATTATAATGGCCCTAATGAGTCGTATTTAGTTGGTGGTGTTCTTTATGAAGATGTATAAACCTGAGGCCAGATTGCTAATCTGTACAGTGGTATGGCTAATGTTTTTACATCTTTTTATTTACTGATTTATAAAAGAGCATAGCGGCTACCACAATTAATTAAACTCTATGGTGCTCACATTTTGTGTTCATTTAGTAAGTACTAAGATGTACACTCATTTTGCTGACAAAGCAACTACCAGCAGTTCTCATTAGCCTTATTTGTCACTAAACAAGCTTTCTATATTAATTGGCAACTTGGCTGGCTCTGAAACCCCAAGTAAAGGTTGTGGTAAATATGTGCATTTAAAGCTGTGTTGTGTTCACTCCTTAGTTTAGATGAATTTTGCAGAAAATGACCAGATGTGGCACAGTACAGTACATATTGTTTGGATGGCAAGGACTGCAGTTTAAATTGTCTGTAAACTTGCATCCGATAGAATCCAATATGAATATAAACAGACTGTTGGGTACAGTTTATTTCAGATGCATGAAGTTTATACGAAGAAGATGGGCACTTGATGTTATTCATTAGAAAAATCTAAACTTTTTCAAATGTAATTATTTCCAGCAACACAACATCATAAAATGAGTATTGTGTACAGATTCTCTAAAGCAAAAATACCATCAGCTCAGATTTGTTTGTCAAACGCAGTCATGGATTTACTAACAATGCCTAATTAGTCCAACTAATTAAAATCTAATTATACAGATACTAGAATAATTATTTACTGAGGTCATGAATGAAACATACAGTACTTGTGCAAAGTATTTCATATTACTAATCATGAAACTATTGTCATTTATTAATTACAAAGAACCATTGTCCTGACATGTGTGAACAGCATTTTGTGAGTATGATACTGTTCAAACTATTTTTTAAACCAATACAGATTTGATTTCAATAAGCAATGAGCTTAAGAAGAAGCATTTAATAGACACATGCCTTTTCTCTGTTTAATTGAATACAATCTGTCAGGGCTAGCGTTATCTTAGAGGAAACAGTGAAGGAAGAAAGAAGGATCTTAGAAATGTGTACCTTTTCACCACTAATCTATTTTTGTTCACTTTTTGTTTTCTGATACAAATTGTCTAATTAATAGGAACATCTCTCACATTTTCTTGGCAACTCTATAAACCTTAAGAAGAGGTCATTTCCCCTCATGGAGGACCAGATGAAAATGATTGAAGATCTTGTAGTCTTTGCTCTTATGGAGGTGCGCTTACTGAACTCCAAGCAGAATCTCTCTGAGGCGTGCTTTACGCTTCATAAACACTAATGAATTAATGCAGAGATTAAATTTTATTGTGCTGAAAAAATACACAAATGCTTCTTTAAAATCATTAAATAAAAGACTGTACCCTTTAGGTCAAGCTCAGATGGGCAGAGTGGTTGGCACTCCTGACTCGAGCAAGTCTGAGCTCTCACATCCTTGAGCTCCAAGTATACAGTACTGTACTTCATTCATTTTGCTTCAGTAACAACCCCAGTTGGCAAAAATGTACAGGGTAAGTCACTTTTGATTTAAAAAAATAGCCAAATTAATTGCTAATCGTAATTAAATATTTTTTCTGAATTGGGAGTACCCTGCCCCCCCCACACACACTCTCTCACTCAACTGGAAACGTGTAAATTGAACACTACTCCATATAAATTAAAGAATAGATGCCTGAGGCTGAAAGGGAGTTCTGTGGCTGGTTTGTGTTTGTGGCAGATGCCCTCTATAAACCTGTAGCAGATGATGAATCAGTTATAGTGGGCTCATGAGAAAATGAAGATCCATCCCAAGCTCACTATACTGTAGCTGTAAATCACAAGTCACTTCCCTGATTATTGTTAATGAAATGCAGGTTCCTGTCAATTCTGACTCATCTTAGATTATGCTTACCGTAAATCACATTAACGAAACCACATTACATCATTTCGAATGACAAAATCCAAAGAATGGCCCTTCACTTGACGAGACTCTATTTTTTAGCTCTTAATGTACTGTAGTTCCTGGGAAGCTCTGTCAGTGCTTGAAATTCTGGCGTCTGTGACATCTTCCTTCCCCATAGATCCAGGAGTGAGCTATTCTAAAGACTTGGCTGTACCCATTGCTTAATTTAATTATTGTATGTGGCTCATCAGCAAAGAATGAGAAAACACAGAATTCTCACAAACATGTCCTGGAATACAATTAATCTTTTCTTGCTTCTTTCACGTAAGAGGCCTCTGTCTGTTACTTGTTACACTTCCCAATGGCTTCTCCTGCCTCAATTTATTTACTGTGGAAAAAAAAAACCCCATGTACAGTACTTCCAGTAGCAAAACCTACATACAGTGAGCAATCAGGCTTTTCATCTTCAGGCAATCAGTCACACTTGAAATAGCTGCTGTGAGCCTCAGGGAAATATTTTAGGAAAATGGTCCTTAAGCACAGCCAATATGTTTGCAACACTTATCAGCAACGTAGTGAAGCATTAGACTAGAGTGATGTATTTTTGTTTATATTGCTCTCACCAGCGACAGTACACACCCAGGGTACTGAAGGGTGGCGTCTGGGCTGTCCCTGTTGAATATATATTTTTAAAGATACAGTGTGATATTTAAGGGATTTTTTTTCAATCTGCTTTTTAAATCTTTATTTTCCCAACAGTCTACATGTACTCCGTAAAACAAAAAAACGCAGCTCGCGTGAAAAGTCCAGCCTTTCGTGTCAGCTTTCATACAGCACAGTACGTGCGTGCGAATTGTAACTCTGCCATCGGGGTGATTTGCATCTTTGAAAGTATTTCCTGGTCCATGGGGAAAAGTGACCATTTTTCATTTGAAGAAAGTTATTATTTATGCAAAAGGTACTTGAAAATAAGTCCACCGCAACGAGCCACATCCCTCTCTCGCTCGTCGTGATCTTACTGCGGTTTTTACTGCAACGTACTTTGATGTACTGTACTACGGGGAACTGTAGTAAAGTGTATGTGGTATTTAAAAAGCACCAAAGCTCCCCGAAAGACAAGCAGCAACAACAGGGATATGCTACAGCCTTACACACAGGTATCAGGTCCACAGTGTGTTTGACAGGTGAGAAGACCCCGTCAGGAAACTGCGGCTGTATAGCCAGCAGCTGAAATTGAGCGCAGCGCTAAACGCCTCTTGCAGATGAGCAGACCTCCGGACTAGCGAAGAAAGGTATCGCTCACGTAAAGCGCCGGCTGTGACTCGTTCTCGCAGGACGGGAAATCTCTGAAGGAGAAACGGGCTGGCTGGCCAGGTGGCTGGCGAGGGCTGGGCAGCGGGCGAGCCGAGGCTCTCCCCTCTTGCTCCCTGTCATTGCTTGAGAAAATGTGGAGATCGGCCACTTTCTTCTCCTCCTCCTGATCCCCTCGTTGACCGGCAACATTTTTTTGTTTGCTGTTGTTGTTGAGACCCAAACGTGCGTGTTTGGTCATTTCGCGGTGTTACGCCGTCCGGTGCGAAACAGCTGGTTTTTTTTTTGTCTGTGTGTGTGTGTCTGTCTCTTGTGTCTGTGCGGTCCCTCTGTTGCGCCCAGCGGCAATTGTATCTACTGTATCTGATACGGCATCTGATACAATCGGGATACAGGCGGGGGGCGGGAGCCGGAGGGGTGGGCGGACGGGCTGCCTTCGCGCACTGCAAGGGCTTGGCTCGCTCGGCGCGGTGCGCACAGCACACAGCACCGTACCGTACCTGCCTTTATTTCAGCTGCCCCTTTAAAACCGTCTTGTCGCTGCTTCCCCAGTGTGGAGCACAGGAGGGTGTCCGCGGCCCAATGAAAGCGGAGGTCGAGAATGCTGGGAATGTTGAGTCAGGCTGGCAGCCAGTGAAGCCGTGATGGAGAAGAACTGACATTATAAAAGGGTATGAAACATTGCATGCATTTTTTTTTTTTAGAAAAAATACAATTGCATTAAACGGTCTTGCTAATGCAGCGGCAGTTTATTCGCCGGCCAAGGGAGAGAGATGTCCTTCGCTTGGAAAGACTGCTTTATGCACGGCGGCATGGTGGCTAAATCTGATTTTTTTTCCCTCTCTCATTGATAATTAGTTTTCTTTCGCATTCTAGGGAATTATTCTGCCCTGGCAGAGCACAGAGGGTGGATATTTCAGTAGTGCACACCGGACTAGCTCTTCTGGGGTTACAAAAAAAAAAAAATAGGAGCAAGCCAAGCTGAAAGTAAAAAAAAAATCACACTGGACTGTAGTGCTCTGTGCAGTCGTTATAAATTAGCCGCTTTTATTCTGATTGTAATGCAGCAAAGTAATGTACTGTCCGACTGCACAACTTTGAAATGTTGTTATTCAATAAAGTGTTTACAGGTAGTACTTTTTATTTAACCAGAACGGGCTATATTAGAAACTGCTTGTCGGGGTTGCAGGTTTTAATGTACAACTGTACACCTGGGCTATGAGCGCTTTTAGAGCAGGATAATAAATATGATCGCTTATTCCTGATCGTGTCTGCGATTGTAGCCAATTTGTTCTGTACACGATGCCATGTACTATGCTTTTCTGGAAGACTGCATTTTATGCCAGTCATTTATTAATTACCGTAGCGCAGAGGTAACCATTTCACCCGGCTTTTAACGTTACATGTGCACTTATTACTTCAAGGTTGGTATTAATCATCTTAAGTGATCAGTCTGATTAACAACTACCGTAGGTATATTTTAACGCGTTATTGATTTTTTTTTTAGGCGTTTGCTATCTACTGTATATAAGATAAAGGGGAGAATCTTGTTCTCTCTCAGACTAACTCGATTCTCAAGAATTGACATTTCTGGGTGAATGGCAGGAATATTGGCCAGTCGGGAAACAACCATTCTCCTTATGTGCTCGTAACAGCCAATCGTCCTAGCTAGGAGGAGGGCTTTTCAACATGCGGTTAGGTCTGCTCGCTACTACGAACCTCATTAAATCGGTGCAGGATGCCATTAACCCTTTAAAGGCAAGTGCAATAAATACACTTGTGTCCATAAAGATAATGTCAATTTAAAAAAATACAGAGACAGGGCAGTGGGAAGCTAGCGGATGTACCGGGTCCAAATATTCTTTTTGGGACCATTCCAAATTTTCCTGTAAGATGTCTACGATCGCAAGCAGTAAATCAACGTACAGCGAATGCTTTTTTTTTTTAAAAAAAGGTACATTCTGTAGTTAACAAAAAGACTAGACGGTAGTTGGATTATCGATCTCATTCATCGATCTTTTTTAGGGGCATTTGTCTTGGCCGAATAATATCGTCACATATGACATATAATTCATAACCATTCGGTCATTTATTCAGCTGTACTTTCTTTAAATCGAGGGTGAGCACCTTTTGTCGTGGTAGGTGGAATTTCGTTTATGGCTGTGCTATTCACTGTGTCTGGTTACATCATTGAGTGAGTACATGTCCTCCGCCGGCTTTGCTTTTCCTAGCATGCTCTCCACAGCTGGGAAACCTTGAAGTAAATTATTGTTCAAGATGAACAGACCCCGTTCACTCATCAGCTCATCATCAGTGCCGTAGTCCTAGGCCTTTGTAGAACAAAGATGTCATTTAGAAATGTTGTCCAGTTACAGTTATGCCACCTTTTTCTAAGGGAAATTATATTTAATTGCAGATTACCTTTGGGCAAATTCAGATCTAATGGTAGAGCATACACTGGTAAGGAAGAGGTGACAGCTTAAGTTATTGTATCATTTCTATCATGGGGTTGGCATACAGGATGTGTGGAAAACTGAACTGTTGGCTGCTTAAAATCTGTGTGGAACAGTGTTTATGGTTCTGGACTTATAACTGGAAGGTTGTGGGTTCAAATCCCTGGTTAGATGCTGCACTTGTACCCTTGAGCAAGGCAATGAACATTCTTTCCAGTTAAAATACAATTATGTAAAATGGGGGCATGTGTTAGTTGTCTTTTATAAAAGAACCAGACAGATAAATACGTTGTGCGCACAGTATATACTGTATTAAACATCTGGTTCGTTTGTTCTGGCGGAAAATTGTGTCAGAAATGTCGAAATCGGAATGGTAACTGAGCTGAAGGGTGTAGTTCAGTGAGCACAGCCTTCCTGCTCCAGTGCCCCGAAGTACGCCTCCGAAGCACCCCTCCAGTCTTCCGTCCCCGCGTTTCCAAGATTCCCTTTCACAGTCACAGCTGCATCTCCGCTTCGTGTGCAGTGAAGGGCCCTGGAAACGAGCCCTCGTACTTAGAGGACAATCAGGCAGATTTCTTGAGCACTTTGTGACGGAATGCAATTTTCACCATTTTTGCGAGAGAAAAATCCAAACCGTTTGTTTCTCTGAATTGGTTGCAAGAGGTTTTTCTGACTCACTGGGTCCTGATGGTGACTATATGGGCTTTTGGCTTCTGATTTGTTTTTTGTTTTTTTGCTTCTATATACACATACGCTGTACTGTTATCTTTTCTCCATCAAGAAAAGAAAACATTTGACAGAATTCTAAAAATCTCTTGTGGTCTTGTTTCTCATTGGTGGTGAACCTGTTTAAAAAACAAAAAACCCAAACAGAACAAAACAGTACAAGCCCCCTGTCCTCGGTGGTTCCTAGTTTCTGCCTATGGACCTTGATGGTAATGTACTGTAAGTGATGGAAGAGCTGGGCAGCAGAGATTTGAGCACATCAGCAGCAGCTCTTTAGATCTCCACAGTCTCCGTCTGGAACCCTGGATCTGACCAGTAGACAGTTCCTTAGACAGTAAATAATGTCAATCTAGGGCAGTGGTGCCAGGAGAGGGGTTGAAAGACGCCTAACACAGCACCAGCATCTTTCAGGCTCCGTTTTTTTGTAAGAGGCGGAGATTGAAGTCATTATTTAGTAAGGACGCCGGTGGGGAGCACTGTATATATCTTTCTTTAGAGCAGGAGATATAAAAGAGGCAACTTGTTTTTCTAAAAGTTAACCACGCTGGGGCATGCCTAAAATGTGTATATAAAAAGTCCTTAGCCTCCCACACACTGAGCACACTTTAAGGACTGGGTACCAGTTATAGGATCTAAGAGTGGTCAGGTCTGCTCTCTGAAGGACAGACAGGCTAAGTCAGTCATTCATGGACTAGGAATTTTGGAAGCCGTATTTATATCATTCCAAATATTCTCCTACAAAATTTCGTCAACTACCTTATATACTCTAAAATGTACGTATCCCTACTGGCAACCAGTAACAGCTGATAAAGGTTTTTTTTAATGAAACCTCCAACAGAAAAAAACACACGTTTTTTTGTCTTTTTTGGGATTATTTTCTGAAATCTCCTGAAACCTTTGCTGAATGCTGGTATAACACTGAATTCTTGATGTCCAGGTTTTAGGATCATACTGTAGCTCATCCTTTAACTTGCTCCATTTAGTCATATTCGGTGAGTCTTGATTATTTGTTTTAAGCCCACCCCATTGCCTTTGTTTAATTGCTTTTGTCTCCTAGTAGATTTTAAAGGCGGAAAAGGAAGAAAAAGAGCCATGCTTTTCTTCAACCTTCTCAGCTAAGCAGTGTGAGTAACTTACACTGCATAGAACACAAAATTAATCCAAGTGCAAAAGCCTGTTATTGAACTGTATACTGTGTGTACTGTAGCAGGAAGCATGGCTTTTAATAAAAGCTTTTTTATTTTTGATATTGATTTTACTTTCCACTTTTTGTGTATTAGTATACTATAAAATGGCCATACGACTCTTGAGTTGTGTCATATACATGTACTGTAAAATGTTTTTTTTATGCGTGAAAATATGGTATATAAAAGTAAATACGAGAATCCATTTTTTTAAAGTTCAGTTGTTTAGCTTGGTGTTTGTGTAGACATAGAGGGCCGTGTTTTTGACTTTGCTTGTGTCTTGGATTTGTCCTTTTCATTTTCGACTTTACTATGACAGCTTAGGCAGCAAGCCAGGTATTTGCACTGTGCGATAAGAGTAACTGGCTATCTTACATCACCCCAATATTCACATTATCTGCTTTGATGCTCATTCCCTGGGTGTGTGTCTGCTGTGTTGTGCTAGTCTCAATGTAAAACCAGCAAATATATTTATATATTTCATGCTGCTCCCTACATCTAATTTCTCAAAAAATGATTTTTTTGGGTGGTTGTGTGGTAAGTGCCTGTTTAAATACCTGTTGAATCTCTTGCCTATTTTTTCAGACTAGTCTAAAACAGGCTGTGGAGTGAGGCAGCTACTGGTTAACACCCATGTGCTGACCTTTGAAAGCTTCAGGAAAATCTGCTAGATAGTATATTCTTTGGCCCTGGGGTCCAATTTCAGCCATTCTGACTGTTATTTTTCCTCTATTGATATCTCATTGATTGCATTTTGGAAATAATAAGAGCTGCTTATTTCCTTGTCTGAAGTCCACCCTGAACATACTGTAATGAACTCCCTGCACTGGCTATTTTAAAAAAAAAGGTTTTGCTGTGCAGGACATGTAATAATTAAGCAATGGATGATGCTTCTACTGAAACCTTTCTGTGCCAGTAACCTTTCATGCATGGCAATTGGAGGAACACGGAGATAGGAGTGTAGCATGGGTGTAGGCGGAGGTTTTATCTGGTCAGAAGCATCCAAAAGCACTGCAAGCCCACATACTGGGAGTTTGGCAGGAGTGGTTTGGTGCATAATTTGCCTGGGACATGCTGACAAGTTGTCGGAATTAATTTTTAACCCCGTGCAGTGGCAGAACGCACTAGGACACCTTTTACGTCGACTGTATACGTGTATGCTATGCAGCTGTGTGAAACTAAGTGAGCTGCAGGAAACTGTTAAAAGCAGCTTGCTGTGGATCTAAGTCTCTCGTGCCGTGGCTGCTGGTGATGCCATCAACCTGTCTCGCTGTGCCACAGATTCTAAGGATCACCCCTTTGGCTTGG